CATCCGTCGGTGATTAGCGTGCTGCCAAATGTACAGGTGTTCTGCCTCCTGCACAACTTCGGTGTCAAGGGTGGCCAGACAGTCTTTGGCCTGCGTTCTGCCCGTAAAGTACCGTGAAATGCGTAACCTCCATTATGACTTCGATCGCGGCTAGGAGAACTGTCGCCAACGTTTCAGAGTTGGCTATTATGCAGGTAACGTACTTCACGATACTTTCCACTGACCAGTGACCCCCTGCTTTGATCTTTGTCAATTATCGCAACGTGAGCAGAGATTTTGGATTTCCGAAACTCAGACCCACAGCAGCGAAGGTCATACAGAACTTACAATGGATGTTGGAGACTAAGCAAATCGTCGTATTCATCGGTTAATCGACTACTTTCTGCCTCATGAAATTTCTTTGAATGGATGCTCCAACACCAAACGGCAGACCATGATCAGACGCTTCGATTGAATGCTGACTTGGTGCCATCTCATGTTAGAATTCAGCTAGTGCTGTAGTCAGTTGAATGATTGCTGATTTATCAAAACTGCGTAGAAACTGCATGAAATTGCTGCCTCGCGGTCAAATGCCATGAACCATATTTGCAAATAAATGAAGTACTGAAATTATGAACGAATGAGTAAACGAATGACTGATAAATCAACAGACGAATGAATCGACAAATGAACGAGTAGGGAATGAATGAACAATTAAGTAATTGAATAAACGGAGGAGTAAATGAAAGAACCGTGAACGTGGTGAATTTAGGCTACTGTAGATATTGACTCAAAACCGAAGCGATTCCAAACTTTTTGTCATACCGTCTAATAATTCACTGGTAAACAGATATTCCTTGCACAAATAGCGAAAGTATACATATGCGCCGCTGATGTTGTATAAATGCAGTTTGCAAAGCATTATTTACTGGTTCATTACTACAAACGCTGTCACATCTTCTACTGAACACCCTGAATTTGACAGGTATCGACGAAATTACCACTGATTTCTTCCATGATTTCGATATTGCTCTGAGCTTGCATGACTTTTCAGATTTATAACTCATAATCCCTATTCGCTAGTAAAAATTCCATATCGAAGGCAGCCAGCAGCCAACATCTATGAAAGGATTTTGCTACCGCCTTCCTGATCAAAATCACGAACTTAATCATGAATAACGACTGAGTCTGGGCTAGATGCTAGATCAGCCAACAAAAAAGACCTTCAAGGTCAAAATGATATCGACATCAGGGAAAAGGATCAGTGATCATTTCGCCTGTACTTGAAAGAAAGGGTGAGTGTGAGAGCACAGACAGTAAAAACAAAACTCTTCGGCGTAAGAATGGTGACAGCTGCATCGGGTCGTTAACATTAGTGCATCAAACTAGAGGAATCAATGCGTTCTCCACTGAACTGAATAAAGTTGGAGACTCCAGCCAATCCTTGGCATCATTCATGCACCGGATTGTGCTTGGTCATCTATTGAGAACCTTTTAGACCATTGTTCATGTCCCCAGTGATGTCAAATTATCGGATCCTTTTTAGAGCTTGTTTTCATCTCTAAGTTGGCTATTCATCTGTACCCTCCTCATAGCTACGCTGCTGCCTGAGCATCAGTGCACAGTCAAGGTGCCATGTCGACATAGACATGCTAGTTACACTAGTATATTCAAGACGGCGCTTTCATGCACGATACCTGTATGGCGTTAGTAATATTCCAGCCAGCTTGCCAAGGTCCGATCAGAGCTCTTTTCTTACCAGCTTCATCTACCTCTTCGACTGCATATGTTTCTTTTGGTCCGTCCTCAACACCGGCCGCGCCGTACGTGTCTTCATATTCGCCCTCATATGTATATGAAGGGATGGAGGCCAAAGTCGAGTGGTCGACGGACGCGGCGAAATCGCTGATGGCTGCCTTGGCCTTCAGGTGAGAGAGCTCGATGTCGGACGAACCGTACATCGTCGACTCAGAAATCGGCAAGGCTCACGCTGCCGTGGTTCTGCCTTTTCGCAGATTCGGACTCCTTGTACGCCGCACTAAAGGCCCATCAATTGAGTGGCCCTAAAAAATTCGACACCATTAGTTTCAAGCGCGCTGTTGGCCAAGGGTTCAAAACAACAAAGGCCACGGTTCAATCAATGGCCAGTGTTCAAACGTCAGACATTCAAATGAATACCACCAATCGATGCCATACGCTGCGATGAAGTGAGAGTTTCGTATTATGATATTATTGCAGACCCTCGTCATTAGACGATTGATTTCCATTTTAAAACAAGATTCGGCCCAAGCCACGAGAAGCAATAAATAGCCTATCTTTCCGGTTCAGTGCTTCTGATTCTTGCCAGCTGTCGCTTGGCCTCTTTTGCTAACATTTGTCGCCATAAAGTGAGGCGGAAATTCCAAAACCGATGAAGCTCCGCCCACCGAATCAGGATTAACATTGAGGACAGAAACGTTTAAATAGCACGCATACACATATAAACATGGTATTAGATTTTTCGCCCCGCAGACGCCGTTAAGGGCTTAATTATCTTAATTCGGTGTCTCTTCTTACTTTATGCTTCATCAGCCATGGTAATCTTCTATGATTTTATTGCATCTTTACTCTGCTCACCAGTATCTCACAAAATGAGTCGTGAAAACACTCTCTCTATGTATATTGAACGCTCAGTTCATAATCATCAGGGGTTTGCTAACGGCCAATCCCACTTCAGTCATCTATGGTTTCTTCCTGGCAGTTCTCACTAATTAGCCAATCGGCTTCCAGATGTTGGTCCCTTCTTTTTATTCGTATTTTCGTACAAATAACGCTTCGTCCGTTGGACGGGGACAATCATAAAACTGAGTACTTAGTCATAATTTACGAGATTGCAACCCCCCTGCCTAGAATGACAAAGCCGTACTTCCGGCCCGCAAGGGCGCCGCTACACCTTAATTAGTTCGAGTTGTCCGTTGGAGCATCGGATAACAATGGCGCAGACAAACACAGGCCAAATCAACATTCCGGATCGTTACATAGCAAATGTTTAACCGTTTGGGTTACCCAGCCAGACAATCTTATTTTGGGAAAACGGTACCTTATGAAAAAAATGTTTGATAACGCTTCCTCCTGGGGGCCAGTTTCGAAAAAAAGTTAGGGTTGAAGTTACTTATGCAATTACAATTACTTTGTAATACTATTTGGTAAGATATGCATGAATACCATGTAGTCCATTAGAAAGGGTGACCAGCAGCGCTCTGTTGCAACAAATGATGGTGACCTTCATGTGGTCGCTCTTGTCATGCGCAAATTACGTCAAATGCTTCAGGCGATCGTAAAACAATCAAAATAAAAAGCTTTCTATTCACACATTGAAAATCTGCTTGGTATATATATATATACCCATTAAAACAATTCCGCATGAATGGGACCAAGTTTCCGCTAAAGTTTCCACTTTCAACAGTGAATGAAGAAACGTCCGAATTCCTCCACTTTAGTACGTAAAGTCAGTAGGATAATGACATGTCAACTACAGTCATATTGTGATACACATCGATATAGCGATGGGACAAAGCTTGTTCAACAGAATCGACATTAACGTATCTCAGACGGCTTAGCTTTTCGTAGAAGAATTGATCAGTTTCATCATTTTATTGTAAACTCTAGCCGAAACTTGACACTAGCTATGTCGGTTTATAATGGGCCTGAATGCGTTACCTTCCGGAGTGATAATCAGTCAATAGCGATAAAAACTGAAAGAGATTTTAAGCTAGTTCCAAACCGTTAAATCTACCGAATTATCATTATATCTACCTAAGTGACTCAGCATTATTCTCTGCACTTTTAAGTCTATGATATGACTTCAGCGTAAGATGCAGTTTAGGCGATAAAACCCCAAATTTGTTTCAATCAAAATCTTATGAACCGATTGCTACCGTCGTTGATGGTACATGGATAGGTAACCGGCAACGGCAATTCGACCGGTAGGTCGACCAACAGCGAATCAAATCGGGCGCAGTATTCTCGCTATTCATAAACGTTTCGAGCGTTGCCTCTTACAGGGCGGCCTTTTGGTCCTGGTACAATCTTCCTGCCGTAATGCTAAGTAACCAAGCGATCTAATCCCTCCGTGAAGATAATCGGCGATTACCACTGAATATCTCCTGTCAGTAAGTCTAGCCATATGTCTGACCAGTCATAACTTTCCTTTCTGCTTTCGATGACAACGTTCTTCACTTCTGTCAACTGCCTGATCACCATGTTGCGTATGAATTCGCAAAGAGCGATTTCCAACATTCTTCTTTCAGTCTTTCTCTCAATGACAGTCACATGGTGTTCATCGGCTTTAGTGAGTAACCACATCTCACTGTCATGCAACAGGTGACACGGATTTCTTTCCTGATAGGTTGCCGACACGGAAGTCCCTAATTTTTCCAGCCTGTTAATATTTATAAAGACTGACTCCTAAGATTTTACTTGCTAGTAACTGATAAGCTTCACTGAAGAGGAAGTAACATAACCAAAAACAGTAATGCACACCCTAGGTTATCAAAGTTAAATTCTTGATTGAAGCAAGCCTAATTTCTTTAACTATATTAAAAACCATGATTTGCTTGCGACGCCAGTAAGTTGCGTATTTTCAACTTGATGGACTGTTTCCTGTTCCAACTATCAATATTTGCGGCAAATCTCATATTTCCACTTCTACATTAATTCAATTAAACTCGATAAATAAAATTTCGGACCGCCTAAGACTCACGCAATAGCAGATTATAATAATTTTCTCTGTTCGTGTTTGTTTTGAGTGCTCAGATTTTTTGCAGCCATTCGCATTTTGACTATCCTGAACAGCAAGACAGACAGTGCAGATTATTTATACTCATTTTACTTGCAATTTTTTGACTGTTGCTTGCCATCGTTTATGAACAGAATATCAAAGAACAATCGTTTCCGGTTGTGTAAAAGGATGTTGTACATTTGTTTGTATATCTCCTATATTTACAAACATGTTAGGGTTACCTGATGGTACTAGTATGTTTTACGGTACAGTTCATGTATTTGCCGAGATCATAGTGTTGAATCGTTGGCGTAAGCGGAACGTCTCGTTTGTAATTTCCGATGTATGCGCAGCTTTGGAGCACTTTTGCTGCAGGACCCTTGATTCCGTCTTGTAGAAAACAATATTCCTCTTCTCGTACATAACATAACGGTATTTAATAGTGGTAACGTTCGTCCGTACTATTTGTTTGAAAACGCTAATCTCTGTGGAAATCTTATTAATAGTTAAAAAGAGCTTTATTCGACATGCAGGGGAACATGCCATATAACGGACAAGGTTGCAATTTTGTGACTGGTCTTGCAAGCCCTCATCTGCCAAAATGGTTTGACTCTCGAAGTGTATTTATGGTAGTGTTAACTTTCCTCAGCATTCGGTTGTTGCTATCACTCATTCATCTTCGCAGTTATTGCTTGATTGGTGGAAGTAACTCCGTTTTTCAAACCATTTTGGCTAGTGAGGGTTATCAAATCCAGTATAAACTTACCATACGCATTGCACGGTGTTCATGACGTACTCTTTTTTATTCAGTCGTAATGTATTACACTGCGTCACTATTAAACTCTTAAATTTGATGTACTAAAATAAACGTTAATAATTCGATGGATATTTTCATTAAGTGAATGATAGGCGAGCGATTTACCGTTGGCTTGAATACTCATGAACGCATTTATTGCAG